CGCTCGCTCGGCTCGTGCGTTGTGGTCACAGTTCTAACCTAACCTAAACCAATAATTATGAACAGGACCGATTCGTTTCTGGAACTTGGCTAAATAACTGGAGCGGGACTCTGGCTTCGCTCGCTCGGCTGGTGCGTTGTGGTCACAGTTCTAACCTAACCTAAACCAATAATTATGAATAGGACCGATTCGTTTCTGGAACTTGAATGAATGACTGGAGCGGGACTCAAGTATACGTGCTAATGCCAGCAAACTTGAACTTTAATATATCGTCAAAGAAAGAAATCTAGGGGAGAGGGGGGCAGCTTTGGACAGGGGCAGCTTAGAACAAATGAATTTAAAAATCACTGGTTTATGCTACAATGGTATAAATCATAATTTATATTGCCAGCACTGATGCGCATAGCCGTCACATCTCATTTTTAATATCTAACTGTAGGTTAACCGGCAAAAGTGGTTTTTTGTTTTTGACTGCCAATTTCGCACTTTTTTATTTTGGTTTTAAGGATTTTGTGGACGTAGTTTTATAAAATAGTGAGTGGTTTGTTTACTATATGGAAGTTTAAAGAGTTTCAATGAAGATTTGATAAGAAATTGCGATATAAAAGTATGTTCCGTTATTAAATTTGTGTTTTTTTCTGGAAATATAACCCATNCAAAAAAGATATGGCTTTGAATAATAGTGTAAAATATGGTTATGTTTAGAAAATCTAGGAGAACAAATAAAAGTATAATAGATGTTTATTGCTAATGACATTATGAAGTTGAATGATTCGGAATTATGAACATTAGAGACAGAGTAGTTAGGAATTGTGATTGTTAGGATGAAAAATTTTAGGAAGAACATTTTCGGACTTCCAATTTTCGGAGTAGAAAATTTAGGTGAACTTTGGCGCACCCATAGATCCCATATGCCTCGTTAAAGTGTACATATGAAAATAGATAAATACAGACCTATTTTTATCGACAAAAAAGAGGTCAAAAAGTTTTGAGATTTTTTTAAATTTTTTATAGAATTTTTTTTCTTCCAATTACTTATTGTAAAGAAAACGTCATAACTTTTAAACTAAGCGGTATATCCTGATAAAATAAAAACAGTAATAATGCTAAATAATAGGTGATACTAAAAATACATTAAATACACAAAAAATGCCAACAAATAATAAAAAAATATTCTTTTTGAAAAAAATCTGCTTTTAAATTCGTGTTTTTTTGGTTATTTGATAAATTTCTCCAAAAAATGCCCCTATAACAGGTGGTTTTTATTACTTTGTATTATTCTCTATCGTATTATCTTTGTAAAACCAAAAATCACATGTCTCTATCCCTATCACAACATTTGCTACGACTATCGCTTAGTTTAAAAGTTATTACGTTTTCTTTACAATAAGTAATTGGAAGAAAAAAAATCTATAAAAAATTAAAAAAAAAACTCAAAAATTTTTTGACCTCTTTTTTGTCGATAAAAATAGGTCTAGTTTCATCTATTTTCATAATTATGTACACTTTAACGTGACTCACACTACATTTCATTATTCGTGACATTGTATATTTACCCGACTGCAATAGGTGTTTATTTATTTAGTAGGTACGCCAATAAAGTCACATACAATTCATACATTATAACATGCATAGCTGGGCATTAACTCGTTAATCCGTTAATCGTTAATTAACGAAGTTAACAGTTCTATTAACGGATTAACTTTTAAGTTAACTTTAAAAAATGTTAACGGACTCGTTAACTTCCGTTAAATTATCCTAAGTCCGTTAATCGTTAATCAACTACCTACTATTTACCAAAAAGATACAGCAGGCACGCTGAAAAACGCTAGAAAAACGCGTTCTGACAAGTACGTTCAGGCTTCCAGAACCCAAAACAACAGTTTTTGTAACCAGATCACTAACTACACTTGTTAGTATGTGTGGGACAACTCTTGCAACTGAATTTAAGACCAGTTTTCCTCAACCGATTGAGCTGAAAGGTATAATGTGTATTATGACGATGCAAAGTTATGGTACCAATGAGCTGGTCTAATGATGGAGCCATGAGGTGGCCATAGGAACTCCTAAATGAAACGGCGGCATCGCATCGAATTTGGGTTCGTTGGATTTGTCTTTTCGAGCACTTTAGTACTAGATGATGTCCAGGGTCCCCTGATGATGGAGTCAGGAGGTGGCCATAGGAATTCCAAAACGAAATGGTGGAAAGTTATCGAGTTTGGGTTTGCTGGATTTCTCTTTTTGAGCACTTTGGTGCTTAATTGTATTGTAATTGAACCAAGGCTCTGAAATTGAAATGCTAATGCTACTAAAAAGTGTAAAATCAAATTATAATAATTAAAAAACTTTTTAAAAACAAGCTTTTATTCTGAAATGCAGTTGTACTAAAACGAAAAAAATAATTGTACTTATGCAAGGTTCAAATACATAATTTCGAAAGCTTGTAGCGCAAACATAAAAGAGGAATAAATTCCATGCGCGATACAAGCTTTCGAAATTATTTGAACCTTACAATTATTTTTTTCGTTTTATTATCATGTTAACGGATCAACGATTAACGTTAACTTGCGTTGAATCTTGCGAAATTTAACGTTTTAACGTTTAACGAAGTAAATTTTTTTATTAACGGTTTAACGATTAACGAAGTTAACTATTTGATTAACGGTGCCCAGCTATGATAACATGGTTTAACACATGATGTGTATAATTAACACTTATTTGGTCGAATCCAACCTTAGTAAGTTAGTTCTGTTCTAATTAGGTAAGAAATAGATAGATAATATGTATACAGGGTGTATTTGTAATCAGTATCCTTTTTAATAAGCTTTATAGAACCATTTAACAACACAATTTTATCTTAATTATTTTTAATAACGGTATTTTTCGGCGAAAAAAATTATTGAAAATGTAATTCGCCATATCTTAATTTTTAAAGGTTAAGACTTATTTTCAATCATCAAACATAGCTAAGCACACTCCCGACTAATTCACCTTTCAGACAAAAAAAATCCAAATCGGTTCACCCGGTCGGGAGCTACTATGCCACAGACAGACACGTTTTTCGTCGGGGATAAACTGGAACGTTCACCACAGTTCAGTCGTAACTTTTGGTGGAGCGCGTTGCGAGGCGATCAAGCTGCAGGGCGCCCGGCGGCGGCGGTCGCGTCGGCGGCGATCGCGTCGGCGGCGGTCAAGTCGGCGGCAGTCGCGTCGGCGGCGGTCGCGTCGGCGGCGGTCGCGTCGGCGTCGGAGGCGGCGAGCTCGTCGGGCAGCGCGTGCAGGCGCAGCTGGCGCTCGAGCGCGGCGTCGGCGGCCTCCGCGCCCGCGCCGCTCCACTGCGCGCCGCGCACGTACAGCCACTTGTGCGCGGGGTGCGCGGCGGCGGCGGCGCGCGCGGCGTGCGCGGGGGGCAGCGAGCCGCAGTCGGCGCGCGCCGCCGCCTCCACCAGCGCCGCCCACGCCAGCGCCCCGCCGCGATTCCGCCGAGTCGCCGGACTCTGTGCCACGATCGCACCGTCAGGGCTATGTTTCACCGGGACACCGTGGCGGCGCAACCGGTCGCCGCTACCAACAAAATGTGTACAGCTTTGCGCAACCAAACGGACACCAGGTGAGTAACTCTCTATAGAGCTGTATACATTTTGTTGGTAGCCGGCGACCGGTTGCGCCGCCACGGTGTCCCAATGAAATTAGCCCTTAAAGTCGCTCGGTGAAAACGGATCGGGGAGCGGTCAGGTCCCGCGACGAGCGTACGCACCCCAGGCGGAGACGGCGCGCAGCAGCGGCGGCAGCAGCTCGGCCCGCGCGCCCGCCCGCGCGCCCGCGCCCGCCCACGCCGGCCCGCCGCTGCACACTGACACACAGAGCGGACGCTGACAGTGCTCGTGGAACCGCATCCACGAGGAGTGTCAAAATAGGACAGTTCAATGCTGTCTGCACTCATGGAAACTAAAATTTAAGGCGAGATTAAACGGCACATTACGTTTTCATATGCTGGATTTTACGATACGAGTGTAGATTATAGATTATAGAGCGAGTGTAAATTATAGAGCCTCAGGCAGTTCGATTGTAGATAAATCTCCCTTCATACGAATTCAAAAAGAGTTCGAAAGAAAAGTCGCGTGCGTATAGTCTAATTTTTTTGAAATCAGCAGAAATGTCATCAAAAATGGCCAACTGACATAAAAAAATTTTTAGTCTGTGAACTAGTGATGCGACAAAACCTCTCGTTAATCGCGAAGTGAAATTATTTTAATACTTGCGTATCATCGCCGGGTGATCGTCAAAATACTAAAAATTGCAACAAAGTCGCAACATTGAATGTGAACTGATTATGAAATTTTCGAGAACAGAGCCCCGATTACGGTAACTTTTATAACGTCTACAATCCAGACGCGTTTCTGATTCTGCGATACGATTGGTCAAAACAGCTGACGTACGCTGTTGAACGACCAATCGAAACGCAGAATCGAGAAGAGTGTCTGGATTGTTGACGTTAAAAATTACCGTAATCGGGGCCCAGGAAACAAACTGTGAGATGAGATGATGTAATCAAAAAACACACTGGACAGTAAAACAATCAATGATATCCGTAAAGTTATTAAACTTCAAATAGTTGCAAAAAGTTCTGTTTGACAGTGTTGCTACTAGTGACATCTCGCTCGCTCAGTTCTTTGTTGCTCTATTCCGCTAGGGAGGTAATTTAAGATGCTATCAATTGAAAGAAGATTTTAATTTTCTTTTATTTTATTTACTTATATAGGAAAATAAGCAATTGAACAATACTTAAGCATAATTGCATAAAAAAGTAAAATAATTTCGTTTAAATAAAACCGACTAAAAATTATACTGACTCCGAAAAAGTATACACTAAAAGTAGAAAAATAATTTTACGTTATCTCCAATATTATTGAAGTTATCGCTGGAAAACTAAACAAAGTATCGTATATTTTTTATTTAAAATTAATCAGTAATCGGAATAAGTGAATACTTAAAATAATATCGATTAAATTTACAGATTATTGTCTATGACTCACAGGTTACAGCACTGATGTGTCAGAGACAAGTGCCACGCGCGCCGCGTGCAGGCGCTCCTTCAGCGTCACGTCGGGGTCGGCCAGCGCGGCGCGCGCGGCGTGGCGGGCGGCGGCGGCGGCGGCGGCGGGCCCGGCGGCCAGCAGCTCCAGGCGCGCGAACTGCGCGAACGGCAGCGGCGCCGCGCCCGCCGCCTTCAGCGCGCCGCGCGCCTGCTGCCGCAGCCTCCGCAGCTGCCGCGCGCCGTGCTCCGTCTGCGAGCAGCGTCTCGGTCACCGCACGGCCCGCACGCGGGCGTCGCCGCCCCCCCCGAACCCCGCCCACCTGCGGGTCCAGCAGCAGCGCCAGCGAGTGCATCCAGCGCATGCGCCAGCTCAGCAGCGCCGCGCGCCGCGCGCCGGTCACCCACGAGCAGCACGCCGTCCACAGCCCGTCCACCCAGCTCGCGAACTCTGCGGAGGGCGACACGTGAGCGGACACTTCGCGATCGCGACGCGACGGCGCGGGGACGCGAGCGCTCACCCGGCTCGCGGTGCAGGCAGTGCGGCGGGTCCAGCAGCAGCGCCAGCAGGCGCGCGGCGGCGGCGGGCGCGGGGCGCGCGGGGTGCGCGGGCGGCAGGCGGCGCGCGGCGCGCAGCAGCGGCAGCAGCGCCTCGGCGCAGTCGTCGCGCGCGTCGTGGGCGCCGCACGAGAAGGCGCGCCGCACGTGATCGCCGCCGGGCAGCATCGGCACCTGCGGTCATCGAGGTTGGAGGCTCGCTCGGCGGCGACCGCGACGAGGCCGAGCCCCCGCGCTCACCTTGGCGAGGCGCAGCAGCTGCGCGGCGAGCAAGAAGGCGGCGTCGGGCCCGCGCACCGGCAGCAGCAGCTCCGTCACGTCGGCGGCCAGCGGCGCGCGCTGCGGGTCCGCCTGAGGAACGCCCGGGTCGACCGATAAAGGTTAGGTTAGGTTAATAATTTTATTATAATCGGCCATCTTTAAGGATTCGATCTGCGGTCAGGTCGAAGCGAACGCAGCTCGCATGACGTCCGATCGCTTCGACCTGACCGCAGATCGAATTCGGTGCGACGAATCCTTAAAGATGGCCGATTACAGTAAAATTATTAATAAAATAAAAACCAATTTCGATGAGAAAACCTACATTTTTCTATATCCCACTCGTCAGTGGACATTAGGTTTTCTATCCCCTCTTAAACACCAACAAACATAGCTGAGATCGCTCACAATGTCACTTCTTGTAAAAACTAAAGCTACTGCGACACAAGCTACGCTTGCTTAGTGCAGAAGTCGCTAGTCATAAGAATACTCTGTACATTGATTTAATGTCAATAAACATTTAATTTATTAAAAAATAAAAATCGCTTCTGTCGTTGATTCGATAACAGCCTTTTTGGTGTGGGAGAGCTCACCTGCAGGTCCTGCGCGGAGAGGGCGCGCGCCGGGCGCCAGTGCACCGCCGCGCGCGCGCGCTCCACGCGCACCCAGCGCGCCGCCAGCGGCAGCCCGCTCGCGCGCACCTGCCGAGGCGTCCGAGGCGTTACAGTCGGTGGCGAGAAAAAGGAGACGTATTCGATGCTTCGGAGACGGACCGACCTCGTCCTCGAGGCGCAGCAGGCGGCGCTCGGCGTCGGCGGCGCGCGCGGCGTCGGCGGGCGGCGGGAAGGCGGCGCCGGCCGGGAAGCTCATGGCCGCCACCAGCTCCGTCAGCAGCACCAGCAGCTCCCACAGCCCCGCCTCGCGCAGGTGCGACCCTGCACAGGACGGGTTCTAGAGCTCGAGCGTCGGCGCCGCGGGCGGCGGGCGGCGGGCGGTCGGCTCACCGTAGGCGTGCAAGACGTGCGGGTAGGCGGCGGGGCAGTCGTGCGCGGCGGCGGCGGCCACGCGCGCCGGCTCGTCGGGCAGCGCGCGCAGCAGCAGCAGCCACAGCTCCGCGCGCCGCGCCGCCGACTTCTCTGTCGGGACAACGCAGGCCGGACGTGAGTCGCTTCGACGTTGATTTCGACAGCGAAACGCAACGTTCGACGCGGTACCTTTGGCGATGTCGTCCCGGAGCGAGGCGTGGTAGCGGTGCGCCGGCAGCAGCTCGCGCGCCAGGCGGTGCCGCTCGCGCCGCAGCAGCGCGTGGTCGGCGCGCGCGCTCGCCTCCGCCGCCGCCTCCAGCGCCGCGCCCGCGCCCGCGTGCCGCTCCTGCGACACAACGGACCGTCCGACACTCGTCGCGTCACTCCGCGTCAGTGAAATCCATTAAGGTCAACTGTCGACGGCCTCTTATCTTTCACTTATGAGCGCTTCATACTGGACACGCTCGATGCTCCGTTCGGATTAAAAATTAACACTTCAGTCGGACGACTGTGGTGTCATTATGTTGTCTATAGCAAAGAGTCCCGATACTGACTTGAAAGCGGATGAACTGGAGCCACAGGTCGACGTCGGTGGGCGTGTCGGCCAGCATGGCGCGGAAGGCGGCCAGACGCGGCGCCAGCTCGTCGGCGAGCGGGCCGGGCTCGGGCGCGCGCGCCTCGAAGTAGCGCCGCTTGCGCGCGCCCGCCCCGCCCGCCCCGCCCGCCCCGCCCGCCGCGCCCAGCGCCGCCGAGCTGCGGCTGGCGTACCTTCACAACGATAATGCCGAATGTTTTATCAACCGACTTCAAAAAAGGAGGAGGTTTTCAATTCGACCCGTATGTTTTTTTTTTCTATGTTTGTTACGCGACAACTCCGCCAATTATGAACCGATTTGAACAAATCTTTTTTCGGCGTATACTTAGGTAATACCTCAAGGGTGGTCCCGTTTAAATTTAATAATAGAAAAAACAACCCCCAAGGGTGGAAAATTGGGGATGAACTTTTTTATATGCAATTAGAGATTGCAATCCGGATTATTCGAAATTCGAAAATATCTGAAAAATCCGGATTTTGAAGCTTTAAAATAATCCGGATTTTTATTTTGTAATCCGGCTTTTTCGAATATTTTTACCCCAAAAATTTTATCGTTCGTTCGTTCGTTCGTTTCAGCCAAATGACGTCCACTGCTGGACAAAGGCCTCCCCCAAGGTTTTCCACAATGAACGGTCCTGCGCTGCCCGCATCTAAAAAATTTTATCATAAAATCATAAACCAAAATATCTATTGAATCCAACATGGATGCAAAACAAGCGAAGTTTTGATTGAACGAACCCGCACTTCGTCGCACAACACTCACACCTGCACTGTGCCTGCACAATGACGCGTCATGCCGCATGCGTAAGTGTATTCGCTAGTCGGCCAGTGAGTTTTATACGAGACGCTGATTCTGAAACACCATATCGCTGAGTTTTAAAGTGTAAGTCATTATCATCATCATCATCTCAGCCATAGGACGTCCACTGCTGAACATAGGCCCCTTGCCCAATGCTTTCCATGTTGCCTGGTTGGTAGCGACCTGCGTCCAGCGCCTTCCTGCTACCTTTATGATGTTATCGGTCCACCTTGTGGGTGGACGTCCCACGCTGCGTTTTCCGGTACGCGGCCTCCACTCCGAATTCAAATTATTTATTGCATGTCACTCCAGAACCTTGCTGCCCCATCGGCCTTCAGTTCTGCGTACTATGTGCCCTGCCCATTGCCACTTCAGCTTGTATCCGTCGGGCTAGTATGTCAGCGACTTTAGTTCGTTTACGGATCTCCTCATTTCTGATTCGATCTCGTAAAGAAACACCGAGCATAGCCCTCTCCATAGCACGCGAGGCCACGTTTCCGAACCATAAGTCATCACTGGTAACACACATTGGCTGTAGACCTTAGTCTTCAGGCACTGAGGTATTTTGGACGAAAAGATGTTGCGTCGTTTACCAAACGCTGCCCAGCCGAGTTGGATTCGACGATTGGCCTCTTTCTCGAAATTGGACCTTCCCAGCTGAATCGTTTGTCCGAGGTAGACATACTTGTCAACAATCTCGAGAATTGAGCTTCCAACCGAAACTGGGTAGGGCGCAACATGGACATTGGACATAAGCTTTGTTTTCTCCATATTCATCCGCAGGCCAAGTGTAAGTAGAGATCTTCAACCTCGCCCATCAAGTTCACCCAGCGGATTCGATTTGCTTACATTAATTCATCTCGAAATGTTATTGTATGAGAATGGGAGTGATTGTGGAGAAGTCCTTAAAAGAGTTCTAAACAGGTTGTTGGATATACCGCCAACCATTTAGCTGGGTTGATGATGGAGTCAAGAGGTGACCATAGGAACTCTTAAACGAAACGGCGGAATCGCATCGAACTTGGGTTCGTTATATTTGTCTTTTCGAGCACTTTAGTGCTAGATGATGCCCAGGGTCCTGATGATGGATTCGGAAGGTGGCCATAGGAACTCCTAAACGAAACGGTGGAAACTCATCGAATTTGGGTTTGTTGGATTTGTCTTTTCAAGCACTTAAGTGCTAGATAATGTTCAGGGTTCTGATGATGAATCAGGAGGTGGCCATAGGAACTCCTAACCGAAACGGCAGAAACTTATAGAGTTTGAGTTCGTTGGATTCGTCTTCCCGAGCACTTTGGCCGTAAATAATGACCAGGGCCCTGAGATTGAAATACAACTTAAAAGTGTAAAATAAAATTATAATAAAAAAATGAGCTCCCCTGGCCTACCTGGAAATCTTTATAGACTTCAGACAGGTCTGCCGTAGTAAGGACAATCTGTTCAGGTGTCAGGTGGGGATTCTTAGATGGATCAAACTTGGAGTGCAAGTGTGGTTTTGTTCCCCAGTCGACGAAGCACATGATGTCGTGCCCTGCGTGCCCAAACAACTGCAAGCAGGAAGATTTAATGAAGGCTACTGACAACGCCACTCTTGTGGCGGAGTTTTGGGCTGACGCTGTGTAGGTTTGTTGTCGACACGACAAGAAGAAGAATAAAAAAAATATTTTATAGGTACAAGCAAGTTTTTATTCTGAAATGCATTTGTACTAAAACGAAAAAAATAATTCAAGGTTCAAATAATTTCGAAAGCTTGTAGCGCAAACCGAAAAAAAGAGGAATAAATTCCATACATATTTTTGAAAAAAACTACATTTTATTTAAATTAAATTGATGGTTTAAAAAATTTACCCAATATTCGAAAAATCCGGATAATCCGGATTTGTACGTAACACAAATCCGGAAAACCGGATTTAAGAAAAATCCGGATTTTGCAATCTCTATATGCAATATCTCCGCCGATTATAAATCAATTTTAACGATAATTTTTTTGTTGAATAGGTATTATCAAAAGGGTGGTTTCATTGAATTTGAAGAAAATATTTCACACCCAAGTAATAATTTTTAGTTTTTTTTTTGTGTTCACGCATTTGAAGTCGGTTTTATTTTAATGAACTAAACCAACACCAGGTTCCGGGTTGCAATATTGGCGTTATTCACTCACTGAGGTCTGCCAGGGTAGTACAGGGTCGACACTCGCAAGTTGCCGTAGTCCGACTTGGGGTCTAGGTAGAAGGTGTCGCGGAAGGAGGGCGGCGGCGGCGGCGGCGGCGGCGGCGGCGAGCGCGGCGGCGGCGCCTCGTCGTCGCTGGCCAGTAAGCTCGCCTCGCATGCAGGAGACATTTCTGGAATTTACAATATCCAATATTATCGTAAAGTTGAGCTAGTTCAAAGATGAACAAAAAAGTTCATTGAATTTTTAGTCTAAAATAATGAACTAATTTTTTTTTATTATTATTTATTACAAAAAATTGCAGCCAATTTTGTTTTATAGGTAGGTATAAATTAGAGATGAAACGGATATCCGGCAACTATCCGGTACTTATACTATCCGGCCGGATACCGGATAGTAGCTCACTATCCGGCCGGATACCGGATATTAAAAAAACTACGAAAATTTCCTATAATAAAATGAAACACATTAATCTTTGAGTCAAATATCAATAAAATGGCTTATAATAATGACGGTTTTTATGTAAAGTCCAAAAAGTTACAAAAAAGCCATATTAAGGCCTTTCAAAAAACTAATTTCTTTTCTGGGCTATTCACTCTAATGACGAATACTTATACAGGGTGTTAGGTAAATGGATATATGAGCCGACACTAGCCCATGTTAACATGGGCATATAAATGGTATGGTGAAGTCAGAAATTTGATATCATCATTTTAATTTTCATACAAAATAAATTTTATAAAATACGATTTGTTTGAAAAATAAAATAATAAAAATATTGTTAATCAACATAAACTCTTTTTAGGTGCTCCTAAAAAGAGTTTATGTTGATTAATGCCCACCACTAGACGAAAGTGTGGAAATACATGTTCGAAAACTTCGAATACAGTTTATTTTCACAAGTTTGGGAACTTGTATTAGCTGAGTCTTAGCCCAGACAACTTTGAGAACCACTGGGTCAGTGGGTAAATATTATAAAAAAAACAGACTGCTTAAAAATTTACTGAAAATTTAGAAACGAGACAACTCACAATGCAGATGAAGGCATCAAGAACTAGTTCTTTTGTTGGTGATATGTATTTAACTAATGCCCATGCATAAACCCCCTTATAACCAAATATTAAACCCATGTAGATAATGATCTACATGGATTTAATTGACTTCAATTAACATTTTGTTTAGAAATGTTATTTTAAACCAGAGTTCATCAGGTGTTTAACTTTTTTGTATTATGGCACATATGGCTTGTTAGATGCGTCTTTAGATTCAGCTACCTCCGGTGTCTCCGGTCTCTTTTAACTGACTATAATATTGGTTGTACTGCTGGTAAGTACATTACTTTTAAAAGATAAATGTAAAGGTTAAAGGTAAAATGGCTGTAGAATCTTTTTTCTCCTATGATATCATTTAGATTTGTTTATAGCTCACTAAATTTTATATTACCTACCTTGCATTCCTTGCACATCGGTGCAACTTTCGGCATCTTCTAGTGCATATGCCGGAAAAAGCGACATTTTTGGAAATAGCACTTTACAAACACAAAGTTTAGCTTTTAATTTAGCTGCTTAAGCTTGTAATCTTACAAAATTACAGATCTAGATAAGTTTTACTAATAAAACTATCCTAATTCAAGATTATTTTTCAGTTTTCTCGTATTGTTGTTTATAGATGAACTACACTGAACTGTCCTTTATTTGACACTGACAGGGGGGCCACCGTCAATAGCGGATCGCTAGTTCCGACTTTTGCCACGGTGGAAACCATAAAGTTGCACGAAGATGGTGGCGCCCTGCTGTCAATGTCGTCGGTGGGACATTTCAGTGTAGTTCATCTATACACGGCTGTGTCAACTGTCACGCTGTGTGGTTTTTTATCTGTGGGTTTTTTGGACTTTTTTTTCTCTTTTCTGTCATTCATTTCATTTGTCACTTCGTGAGTCGTTTTTACTTACACTGCATAGCAAAGAAATAATAAAATGTATCGTTTGAGTCGATACAATTTTCACATTCTTTATAATTTTGTATAATTATATTATTACGTAGGTATTCACTTTATTCATTTACCTAATGAAATTTAGAATAGAAATCAATAAATAATTATTTGGTTATATTCAGATTCCATTGTTTGTAGAGGTCCTAACCGGTTCCTTACCGGTTACCGATTCCTTATCTTTTGTCTGCCACGTCACTAGCTAGTGATAATAAACTTCAAACAAAAACTTGTTTGCTGAAAAAATACTTTACAATTTGTTACTAGTTATTTGCTAAAGGCAGCTCGTGTTATCAAGTTAATATGCGGGTTAATGTAATTAAATTAAAATCGTTATCATGTGTGCCAAGGGTCGAGGCTGATGTTGCAAGATTTGCGGTGCGCTACAGAAGATTGTATACTGATGTAAGTTTTCAAAGAAAATAATGTGCATAATTTATTTACGTAATTTCTTGTAACTAATAATGTAGTAAGTTAGTACCTAATTTTAACCAATTTGCTTGGCTTCCAAATTGGAAATGTTAAAAGAAATTAAATATATGATTGGCTACAATGAGGCGGTACAGTACACTGCACAGTGTTTTATTTTGCCTTATAGAAACGGAAAAAAAAGAAATTTGATTTGATTTGACATCCATGTTTTAATAATTCAATCGTTAGATATTACTATTATGTTTAAAATTGATAAAGGAACTAGTAGTTGTATTTTCTTAGTTTCGAAGAAATATTAGATATTGTGATTTTATAAAAAAAAAAAACAGTTTAGAAGTATATTTTTAAAAAAAATTACATGACGTTAAAATTTTGTATATCAATTGACCTATCACTATAACGTCCACCTTTATGCAAAAATAAATGGTTATTGCTGCAGTAATTTAGGAATTATTGATTAATTTATGATTTTCAGAAATCATTTTTTCCTCCGTTGTCCTAGAAAATTGGCAACGATTCTTACTTTATATTGATGCATGATATATGTTTTTTTTATTTTTTTAGGATATTTTTTTTTAATTATCTATAATACCTTAAAATATTACTTGCCTATCCCATAGGACGTCGTGTATGCTTTGCTATAAATTGTGTATTTTTTATTACAGGTAAGCTCAGCGCCAGTAAGTTCCTCTATGGTGCATCATGAGGCGTCACCGGCGACACCGGAAGGTGCACGGTCGCCGCTCACCGATTTGCTGGGTCGCCGCCACGATTACTTGCGAATTTCTTTGACCGAGCGGTGCAATTTGCGATGTCAGTTATTGCCTAAACGTTAATCATCCGTCAGGGTCTTTGCACAGTACACGGAAGGGTGTTCAGCTTTGTGTTCGGTTGGCGTTGCGCAGGTCAGTACTGCATGCCCCCGGAGGGCGCGGAGCTGTCGCCCCGCGAGCGGCTGCTGTCGCGCGCGGAGCTGGCGCGGGCGGCGCGCGTCTTCGCGGCGCTGGGCGTGCGCAAGCTGCGCCTCACGGGCGGCGAGCCCACGCTGCGCGCAGACCTCGCCGACATCATACGTACGAACGAGTACCTAACCCAGTTTACTATTACTATACTAACTCGGAAGGTGTATTGTTACTTATCTACCGTATGAATATTGATTCATGAAAGAAATAATGTTCCTTAAGACATTTGAACAAACTATTTTCCGATATTATTAACATGACAAAAGTTGAACAGTTAAATTTGTACAGGTGGTTATGTCGCCAATTTTTAAACTCTTTGTTTCAAAATACAGAGGACTTAACCAGCATAGAAGGGATAAAAACGGTCAGCATGACCACGAACGGGCTGGTGCTGACGCGGCGCCTGCCCGCGCTGCAGCGCGCCGGGCTGGCCGCGCTCAACGTGTCGCTCGACTCGCTGCGCGCCGAGCGCTACGAGCACATGGCGCGCCGCCCGGTGAGTGCCAGGACTGGGCTTATTCCACTATTCCCCGTTGACAATCCCCGTTAACGTCAAATGGGCTGGTGTAGGTACTCGGTGACGAGCACTGACACACACCGTGAGTCACCGTGTGACTAGGAAACATTAAAATTAAACGAACTGAAAGTTGGTTATTTTTTTAAAATATCAAATTGACTTTTGTTCGTTTCTAAAGTCATGTGTTTGTAATGTAAATTAATCCATGTTGTTTTCTGTAACGACAGGTAGATAAGAATTAATTTATTTTATGCTACTGACTTACATTTATTTCCTTTGGTAAGTAACCGATTATCTCAAGTGAATTTTACACGTGTCATGTCATGGAAGTGAAATGTAGCTATTTTTCATATAGGGACTGTCGCGGGTCCTGGCGGGCGTGGACCTCGCCCTGCAGCTGGGATACCGCCCTCTTAAAATTAACACCGTGCTCATGAAGGGTAAGCATAAAACCCGACCGGTCCATTTGTAAATGCTCCAATTATACCGGTTTTTAATTATCACGTTTCGTTTTAGGAAACTAGCCTATTCTTGTCAAATGCAATCGCCACTCGAATACCATCCATGTTGTGTCACATGTTACCTGTACCTCTAGCACGAAAAGCTTTCGACTTCGAATCGTTTGCGTATTGGAATCGCCATAAAAAAAGTATCAAAACTTAAACAGCGCCCCTATGAACTTGACGTAAAGTGAACTCAGTATGAGAAATGGTAGAACTAATTTTGACAGTCGAGATCGTCATATTATCGTTGAATTCGAATTCTGGGAATACGCAAACGATTCGAAGACGAAAGTTTTTCGTGCTAGCCACACTGTGCGCAGCCTCCGAGAGACTGGGTTCCTCGCGAGGTTGCATGAGTGTGTGATCGGTCACTCGCATTGAATTTTGGTTAACTTCCTCGAAGATTCCGTCGAAACGCCGAAGCGAGTAGTAGTGTATTTATTTATTTATTCAGGTCTCTAAAGTCAAAGTCAAAATGTCTTTATTTGTTTAGACTTTCTTACAAATCGTCATTTTGCTCTTAAGGAGCCTCTACATGTCTCATAATCTTTTTACCCTACCAGAGCGCTTCGAGACCAACATTTGGCAAGTGCTAAACAATTTATTGTACAATTTAATTCAAATTCTTTATTTGCGTACTAAGTGTAGGTACCTACATATAGGTCTTATCACTAATACATGAGTGTGCTTATTACTTACTTAGTTACCTAGATAAGGCATTGCAAAGGTTTGTATAGGCGGGCTACGTTATTTATTTGATACTTAATTTCGGTGTGACGCCGCCGCGGCATTCTGTTTCGCCGGATGAACTAGGTAGGTACAGGTAATAAATTATGCGTTACCTTCTAAACGAGTAGGTAGCCTATCATTACCGTCACGCAACACAGAATACAATTTATTTTGTTTGTTGACCTTCGTTCATTATAACAACCAGCTGTATAAAGAATTTACCACACCAGATGCGTTTCTGTGGTCACCGCAGTCCACATCCAGTGTGTCAATTCCTTAAGAAAGCGACGGGAAATCGCTTGTTGTTTTTGGATAGGTTTGTTTTGTTACAACAAGAATATGCAATTGCTAAATCTTAATAGTAAAATAATGCATTTTTCAGGCTTCAACGATGATGAAATTTGTGATTTCGTGGAGTACACACGGGACCGTGAAATCGAAGTCAGGTAAACGAGATTAAATACGACGACTAAAGAGCACCCGAAGTCGAGACGGTAATCGCGAACGCCTCCGCCGCAGGTTCATCGAGTTCATGCCGTTCAGCGGCAACGCGTGGGACGACAGCAAGCTGGTGCCGTACCGCGCCGCGCTGCGCGCCGTGCTGCGCCGCCACCCCGAGCTGCGTCCGCTGGCACCGCGCGCCAACGACACTGCGCGCGTGAGCACATTCGGTTTAAAAAAACTCATTAAAACTCATTTATTTCTGTAAAAAGGCTTAAAAAAAGACACTTTTACACGTCCTAGTATTAACCCTACCACTGCTTCAGGACAATAAATGGGCCAGTGCTGAGAAGAAGCAGCGCAAGAAACTCAGTCACTATTGTCAGCCTCTTTTTCAAAGGTTTACATGCTTTAAAATGTACAAAGTTATAAATATTTATGCGAGCTAGGCAGTAACGTATCCCAAACATTTTTATCTTTTAAATAATCATCGACTTTATAGTAGCCCTTTTTCATTAAGTTTCTTAACTGTTGTTGTTTTTTTACTGTTTATTTTACCCGGCTACGGCGAAGGGTTTTTTTGCTGTTGCTGTCTAGTTAGTGATTCCGTGTCTTGCCGGGCAGGTGTGGCAGGTGCCGGGCTACGCGGGCAGCGTGGGCTTCATCGCGTCCATGACGCAGCAGTTCTGCGGCTCCTGCAACCGCCTGCGCCTCACCGCCGACGGCAACCTCAAGGTGACGGGTGGCGACGTCAGACTTGCATCTGATCTACGATCTATCCGTGTGGCATCGCTTGAAGCTCGGAAGATTTTCTGCAATTCTAATTAAAAATAAAATAATGTTTGATGTAGGTATGCCTGTTCGGGGCCGCGGAGGTGTCCCTGCGCGACGCGATGCGCGCGGGCGCCGACGACGCGCGCCTGGAGCAGCTCGTGCGCGCCGCGCTGCGCAACAAGAAGCCGCAGCACGCCGGTCAGTGCCGGCCCTCTCACACCACACTCCACACGCGTCCGTGCGACCCTGAAGACGAACGTTCCCAAAAAAAAAATTCTACACAGCAACGATACAAAAAATATTTTTCTTATATTATACATCTACACTAATATTATAAAGAGGAAAACTTTGTTTGTTTGTTTGGTTGTAATGAATAGGCTCAAAAATTACTGGACCGTTTTTAAAAATTCTTTCACCATTCGAAAGCTACATTATCCACGAGTAACATAGACTAAATTTTATTTTTGGAAAAAAATAGGGTTCCGTAAAATATGTAGATAATGTAGTCCACGCGCGCGAAGCCGCAGGCGGAAAGCTAGTATTTTAATATTTAGACAGTCTGATAAAAAACACGTTCTGCAGTGACACGAAGACAAAAGTATCTATATTTTATTAAAACACACTTTTGAGGGCTCATCGGGGACGCACCCAAAACGGAACGTTCGATTTCCGGGTCAAATTCACAATGCGTTCTGTTCTGTTAACGTTTATAGGTATGCAGAATCTCGCCAAGATGAAAAACCGGCCGATGGTTCTGATCGGTGGATAACGGCCGGGGTCCGGGCCGCCCCGTCCGCTCGCCCGGCGGCCGCGCGCTGCTACTCCACGCGCGCGGGCGCGGACGACGACGCCGGCGCCTTCTCGCACCTGGACGCCGCGGGGCGCGCGCGCATGGTGGACGTGGGCTCGAAGCCGGTCACGGCGCGCGCCGCCGAGGCCGAGTGCCGGCTGCACGTGGGCGCGCGCCTGCTGCGGCTGCTGCGCGACGCGCGCCTGCCCAAGGGCGACGCGCTGACCGTGGCGCAGGTGGCGGGCGCGCTGGCCGCCAAGCGCACGGCCGAGCTCATCCCGCTGTGCCACCCGCTGCCGCTGGACTGCGCGCGCGTGCGCGTGGAGCTGCCGGCGGGCGCGGCGGGCGCGGGCGGCGCGCTGCGCGTGGCGTGCGAGGTGCGCGTGACGGCGCGCACGGGCGCGGAGATGGAGGCGCTGACGGGCGCGGCGGTGGCGGCGCTGGCGCTCTACGACATGTGCAAGTCGGTGGACCGCGACATGCGCATCACGGACCTGCGCGTGGTGCGCAAGTCGGGCGGCCGCAGCGGCGAGTGGCCGCCGCCCGCCGCCCCCGCCAAGCCCACCGCAGCCGCCACCCCCGCCGATCCGGTCGCCGAATCTGACCCCGGTCCCGAGATATATGCCCCGACTAATTTTCCTCACCTTTAGAGCCGCTTCTGATACTTAAAAGTATAATTTTGTAGCCGACTCCACACGGCTGAAGCGAACGATAAGTCCTCGCGACACTACTGACTGCTATATATTTCTATGAAATTGCTATTAGTGACACGTCGATAAAAGTTTCATAGGAAAGCATGTATCGTCGTAGTATAGTGCAGCTGCGCGCTTCGAGCTTGTACCATAAGTCCCACTATACCATAATGTTTTCTTTGAGTAATAAGAGTACTGCTTCTATCTGCAGTATTAAGAGCACTTTCCCTCCAGGTGGCATTACAAAATTCCACCCTGTATACTGCTCCACTCTACTGATTCTACTGCAGCTCAAACACACAGAATATTATGTTAATGGCCCTGTTAACTACACTGCTAAGTATAATGTATGAAATGTATCTTAAACTAGGTATGTGATATTGTTTGAATAACAAAAGATGTGTAAACACATCAAGTATTCTGTGATTCCATTAATCATTATGGGCTCTTTCGCACAGCAACATCAGTTTTTTGTTAGTACTGTTTTTTTCAGAATCTTTTAATACTAACATTCACATGAACATCCCGTTTTAAACAGGATCCAGTTTACAACTTATTATTTTTTAATAGAAGTGTTCCCACTAGCAGTTTCTTGCAAATTTTTTTGCAACTGCCAAAAAATGGGATGTCGAAACATAAGTACTTTCTGCAGGATCCTGCACTGGACTGCCATGGGAAAGGGCCCTAAGCTAATTTAAGCATTAAAGTATACATATTTGTAGATAATATTTTCATATTTTGTAACATGAAAATATATAATTGGTTTTTATTATGTATCACATGTTTTTAGTTCATCTTTAATACTCCCTTTCATATGAATGCATCAATAATGTCTATGATGCCTTATCATGCCTGAACATTACACTTGTAAAGAAATTTACAAAGGTACATAAATAAAAAATAAAATAAAATTTACTCAAATATTTATTTCAACTTCAATAAAATTTACATGCCATGGCAGCTTTTGATCAGGATAATCATAGATTATCAATTTTATTGCAATCTTGGTAAATGAGTATTTAGTAAAGTAGATATAACTGGCAAAGTATCCGTGGTTTAAATATAATTAGCAAATTAAATAGCACAAGCACTTGGATTAGTATTTTCAAACTTAAATGTTGAAATATTTTAGAATACTTTCTTAAATAGGTTAAATACTCAAAGTTATAAATTGTTCATACTTCTTTAATTAAGCACTAGCCACTAGGACGTTTGATTTTGCAGGTTGCTCAGGAGTTTCTTCAGCTGGTGGTCGGTCAGCTCGCTGAACACGTATATCGTGGCACTCAATGTAATCATTAATTTCTTGCCCTTTCTTTGTCAGTTGTTCATGTAAAGCCTGCAAAGCCTTTGGCAAACGTTCCCGGTTAGTTTCGAGCTCTGGCAAGACATCAGCCACCGTTCGCTCTACTAGGACACCGCCAACCATTCGGAAACACTTTCGAGATCCATCGACACCTTTTAGGGTTTCAATTACAATTCTGTGAACAATAATATTTATTTAAATAATGAGAATTGGTACCTACTTACTGTTGTTATTTAAGTTAATGAACAATTTATACTTTACACACTTGTGTTCATTTAGATCCATTTCAAGTTCTGATATTTTGTTAGCGAGTTGCCTTTGTTCGGTGCGGAGTGTTTGAAATCCTGCAAAGATCTCTTCACTGGATTTGGGCTTTCCACCTTTTGATGTTGATGACGAAGCGCTTGTGGCCATGATTGTAAGAAATTACTTTTGTTTTACACTTTTACAGTACACGAGCTCTTTTATTTGAATTCTACAGTCCAGACCCTAATTAAATCAGAATACTTCAAGATTTTTGTAACACATTTATTCGTGTAATGCGATACTTGAATCCATTGAATCAAAAATAATCAAAATTGAGCAAGCAAATTTTGAGGTTAAACTTAAGTGATGTACGTACGCTACACTAACATCGCGATGTAAATACCGATTACCGGTACCGAGATTATGAAATATATAAATTGTAGACTGACAGGAATAATGCCTTTGCTTAATCATGCAAAATGAATAAAAGAATGATGAATGGTATCCACAGATAAAAATGTCTATCAGTTTAGCTGCGGTCCGTAATGCACACGCTATCAAACGATTCTGTCCCCCCCCTGGAAAAGTTGCAATTTTTGGTCGAATCAAAAATTAAATCCGTCATCATAACTCCATACAAAAAAACGCTTTTCGACTGGTTTGCGATTATAATGTGCACTTTGTCCACAGATATGGACATAGAGTATAGTACTTATACCAAAAGGAAGTCCCGTCTGTGCGTCTGTGCATATTTCGGACCGTATAGTTCCAAAATACTGGACTGTCCTGTCGATGACATTGACAGTGGGGCGCCACCGTCAATACCGGATCGCTGGTTCAGATTTTTGCCATGTTGGAAACCATATAGTTGAACGATGGTAGCGCCCCCCTGTCATTGAGTTTGGCGGGACAGTTCAGCGTGGGTCATCTATAGCACTCACAGATATGGATTAGAGTAGATACAGCAAGTTGATCGTCAAAGCGTGCCATTCCGATATGTCCAAATGGACATACATGGTCGAGTGATGTTCATGTAATCCGATTACAACAATCGGTTACGATGATTTTACGAGGACAGTAGTACGAACACGGTAGAAAGAAGAAATTATTTACGGATTGAGAATTGTAATTAACAGCACAAGTAACAAATAATTAATTAGAATAAAGTAGCAGTAGAAGAAGTATAAAGTAGCATTGTTTTTAATACATATCCTGCGATGTACTCTTAAGAGTTAAAACCATGGTCCCTGTATGTGATGCACTCATACCGATCCCAAGGAACCGTACTTACTCATAACAATAAGACACACACTGATGCATGTATTCATGCACTTGACAAATTTATGTCTTGAAACGCTGGTAGGGTAACAAAAATAACGAGATTTGACGATTTGTAAGAATCAATTTATTTTAAAAAGGTAAATAAAGATGTTTTTGGTTTTGTATTTTAACAAATTATCAGTTTTATCGAAATTAATTAATTTTCGAATCGAGTCACACGATATCATTCGATGACTTTGCAAATGCAGTACGATGATACGATTACTTTTACGTTGCCGCAATCACTAAAATTCGCTAAAATGACACTAATGACGTTTAAAAAGTGGCACGCTCGGCTTCATACAATTTTTGACACATGCTGCATCTATCCATATCTGTGATAGCACTACACCACACTACACTGCTGTCTATTCTTCAATGAACTGTCAATGTCAGTCAGCTCTGCTTGTTGTTGTAGGCGTGAATGTGATGAACTTAATATTTCATTCATGTTTTGTTTAAAACTTATTTTGAAATTTCAATTTGTTCATTATATTATCATTACAGTTGTATTATAGCCTATAGGTAAGGTAAATCTAAGTGGCATTAAGCGGATGATAGGTACTGAAGACTGAAAATAAAGAGGGTGTAAAACTACCACACGAACTATGAAGCAAGAAGCACTAGCGATGCAGAGAGAACTGGACGGTCGGGACCAACTATTTGTGGATGTAGTAAGTAAACTGAAATATATTCATTATTATGCAAAGGAAATCATTCGTAGCTCTAGATCGAACAAACGACATCATTAACGAGTACCGTTTGATATCACGGGAGCTAATTCTCATCGTTGGAAAAGTGCATAACAGGGCGAGGATAAAGCGTAAGGTTTTCGTGCAGGGTTCGGAGGGCTCGATGCCGTCGGACGCGGCGCTGGGCGCGCTGCTGGAGGACGGCTCGCCCGCCGCCGACGCCGAGGGCCGCGTGCGCCGCCTGGCCGAGCGCCTGGCGCGCCTCGACGCGCTCAACGTGGCCGGCATGCTGGCCGCCGCCAGCGAGGTGCTCACGCGCGCGTCACGCCACATAACCATTTCAAACCTGTCATAAGTATTCCTAGTTTGCTCATCATAAGTTTCTATTAAAATAAGTCATAAGGCTCAGAAGACCAAGTCATGTTTAAAAAATAATCTTCATACTTACTTATCATTAGTTTTAGGTATCCAATGTGTACCTAAAAGTCGCACAGTTAATTATTAATATAAATATGGTGTGTGAATAACACCTGAAGTACGTACACTTTTGAATTTGATTTTCATAGGAAATGGCAACCGATTTTTTTCAAGTTTCCTGAAGTATTAGTCAGCGCTGTCCAATAACAGCAGCGGGTGCGCAGGGCGACGGCGCCGGCGTGCGGCTGGCGACACGGCTGGACGCGGGGCTGGCGGCGGGCGCGGGGCTGGCGGCGCGGCTGCGGCGCTGCGAGGCCGTGGTGCGCGCCGCGCCCGACGCCGCCCACGCGCGCTTCGGCGCCGCGCGCACCGACGCCAACGCGCGCGCGCTGCTGGCCGAGCTCGAGGAGCTGTACTCGTGGCTCGACGCGCCGCCGCTGCGCGACCTCGACTCCATCTCCGAGGTGAGCGGCGGGCGGGCGCGGCGGCGCGGCGTGCGCGGCGTGACGTCACACTGACCCAACATAACCCACCACCACCCATGGTTCTTCCTGCCTCACGGCGTACGAACCGAATCTCGGGAGAGCGCGCGGGTACTTGCTCTGGGCTCCTTTCCCCGGGCGCTTTGCTTGACTCCCTACAAATTTCTCTGATCCATGTCCCATCTCATAGTCAATTCTCCCCCTTCTGGGGCTTGACATCACAAATACGGTACTTCGCGTCGGGCTGCTATCGTTGATAAATGTCATCACTTCTTCTCATAATTTCGCCTGATTGTGTGCCCGGAGTGCGCGAACTCGCGCAGCGCGATCCAGTCACTGCGACTACTCGTGAGGTCCTGGTGATAAGCAGGTCCCCGCTCGGCTCTCCGTATCGCATCCAGCATTTTCTGTCGAGCTTCGTCATAGAGGTTACATTCCCAAAGTGCGTGATCGCGGCTCTCTTCGACTCCCTCGCCGCATGGACATAGTGCAGACTCGCACAGCGTCATCCTGACACACTGACCCGTGGGCTGCGCAGATCTCGCTGGCGTCGGCGGAGGGCCGCGCGCGCGCGCTGGCGGCCGGCGCGGCGCTGCAGGGCGCGCTGCGNCAGTGGAACGTGGGCGCCTTGAGCGCGACGCACCCGTTCGTCATCACGTGCTCCGTCCTGGAATACCGACTAGTTTTTATGCAATACACGTTATAAATTCATTTCAAACATTTTGAAACTATAAGGCTGTTCCTAAATTCAAACTTAATGATTCTAATCAGGGTTAAAGACAGGGGAAATTTGAATGAAGTAAGGTTCACAAAAATAAAGGCAATATTTTAAATCAAAGGAGTTATATTGAAAGTATGACCCTAACCCATGAAGACCACCTCTAAGATAAAGCATTCCAAACTAATTTACTGTACAGGGTGTGTCTCCGTGATGATAATGAGGCATAAAACCAGTTAAATCTATGCGATCCATCGCGAACTTCCTCAGGAACTGACTCATTAACCGAAAGGACTGTGNCTATGTGCATTATTATGCACCTTATTGTACAGAAAATAAAAAGTACTTACCCTTATCTTCAAAATCCATCACACAAATATTTGGTCACCATAGTAAAAAATAATGTCAGGTGTTGTCGAAAGTCGAGCAAAATTAGGAATTAAAAATTACACTATCCTCATATCCTCACTTACCATGTTAATTACTCACGACTAGGTAATTAACAAAGTAAAAAATTGTGGAATCCTTAATGTCTGGGATGTTGTTTATCGTTTTTTATAAACGATAATCAGAAATTCAACAATGACTTTTGTCCAGCTAGCTTGTTCTACACGAATCACAGTGCATCCGTTGATTTCTATGTAAATACTTGTAATATAAACCACAACTCGCCGTATAACACTTGTGTATACGCCTCGTTGACCAGTGCCATCGCTATACAATGACATGTACGTGTCCTCGTTGTGTAAACCACCTGCTACTACTGTTTACAATATACACAGTGCAACACTAACCGGAGTTTGATTCGGCTCGGGGAGCGCCGCCTCATCAATCCCCAAANGGCGGGCGCGGAGGGCGAGGCGCGGTGGGCGCGCGCGGCGCTGGCGGGCGGCGCGGTGGCGGCCAAGCGGCAGGCGGACCGCGCCGTGGCCGAGCGCCTGGCCGCGCTGCCCGACGCCGTCAAGCAGGCGGCCCGCCGGCCCAAGTGCGGCCTGCTGTCGTTCCTGAGGGACTTCGAGGTATTTATTCTGAGGACCGCCGGGCCGTCCGGTTGCTCGTCGTGCGTCGGTTCGGCCGCTTTTCGGGTCTGTGCTTGTTCACGTAGGTACGCGCGGGCGCGGGGGCGGGTGCGGGCGCGGGAAACGTTGCGAGCTCGTGTTCACATTAACCACCAGGCGTTCGCGCGAGTGTAACGTACTATCGTTTCTAGCGACAAGTTCAAACTGGTTGAACTTACCTGATGTCGCGAGTGAAACGCGCGCGCCGCCGCTAGTTTGACATGAACACACGCAAACATCTTCACGCGTTGAAATTACCGCGAGCGCTCCGCGCGCCAGTCGCTAGCTTGCCCGCTAGTTAGACCGCACGTGCGTTTCGTACGTGAACACTTGGAATCACTACCATACGTTTGATATTTCGTCACCGCGCCCGCGAGTCAACGTGAACAAGCACTAACGTCGCCTCCGCGTCCGTCCCCAGGAGCTGAGCGGCGCCTGCGAGGCGATATTCTCGGGCGGGCGGCGCGCGGACCTGGACCGCTGGTACGTGTCGCTGGCGGGCGCCATGCTGCACGCCATCCAGCACGCCGAGCACCCGCGCACGCCGCGCGCCGTGCTGCACATGGGTGAGTGCCGCCGGGGCCGCGCGAGTGTGACGTGTACACCAGGCCGCAACTGACCCGCTGTGTCCGCAGAGAACTACCACCGGCTGCACGGCATCCTGTCGCTGCTGCGCGCGGCGGCGCTGGAGTCGCTGCGGCGCGAGAGCCGCGCGCGCTACTCGGCCGCGCTCAAGGCCTACGTCACGCAGTACTTCGGCCGCCCGCTCGAGAAACTTACGCAGTTCTTCGAGGTCAGTCGCGCGGGTGACCGGCCCGTCGTTCGTTCGTTACGCGCGTCCGGCTGACGACAAAGCTAAAGGGATCCGTTTTGTTCCATGCGGCGCGCAGGGCGTGGCGGAGGCGGTGGCGGGCGGCGTGCGCGAGGACGAGGTGTGCTACCGCGCCGCCTTCAGCAAGCACGAGCTGCGCCGCCTGCTGGCCATGTACCCCGCGCCCGAAGGTACCGCGTTTTTACTACTTCTGTACTATTTCTTTTAAGTTTCTCAGTGCGATCGTTATCTCTCGTGACGTGTGGTTGGTTGCAGTGCGCAAGTCGCTGCACCGGCTGTACCGCACGGTGGAGAAGCACCTGAGCGAGGAGGGCGGGCTGCTGCAGGTGGTGTGGCGCGCCATGCAGGAGGAGTTCCTCGCGCAGCACCTCGCGCTGCAGGTCACGAGCGAGGATACCCGTCGGATACGACACTTTTAAGATAGCATTCGGGTCAAGACGACCGCGACGAGAGACCACGACCCGAGACCGCGACAGGCCACCGGTCGCAGGTCGCAGGGCGACAGCTACTTACGAATCTTCGCGACACGAGTCGTGCGACCCATACGAAACTTACTAATTCTATTAAAATTTCGCCTTCGTGCGAAGAAAACACGGCCATTTTGCATCTGTCGCGTCACGGCACTGCCTTGTGAGCGACCGAGTCGCGCGACGCAAGTAGCCGGCAGGCCTCGCCCACACGTCGCGCGACTCGGTTGCTTGCATCCGTCACCACTTCCTATTAATTCATATAAAGCAGTGGGTCGCGGTCGCCGGTCGCGGTCTCGAGTCGCGGTCTCGCGTCGCGGTCGTCTTGATCCGAATGCTACCTTTAGGCCGCAGCCTCGAATTTAGCGGGCAGCGGGGCGGGAGCGGCGGCGGCGCGGGAGCGGGGCGGGCAACGCAGACCCGTTCTCGAAACGAGCGGGCAGCTCGCGCGGCGCTTTAGCGGCGAAGTGTTGTGTTCGGGGTTGTGTTGTCGAGACATTTGTTTTTATTCGCAAACGAAACGTCTGAACGACGGCGACAATTTTATTTCGATTCAAATTTATTCGTAACGCTCATTTATTGTGGGCAAAAGAAGGAGTACGCTGCCCGCTCCCGCGCCGCTGTTTTCGAGAACCGTCTATTTGATTTAACGCATAAGATCCTGCCGCTCCCGCGCCGCTACCGCCGCCGCCCCGCTGCCCGCTAAATTCGAGGCTGAGGCCTTAAACTCGCATCCGCCCTCATTACCGATCTTTCTAAACCTTAATTCTTCGTGTGCAGTCTCGCATCGCCACGTGCTACGCGGGCGCGGGGCTGGCCATGCCGCTGACGACGCAGGACATCCTGGACGCCTTCTCCGACATCGCACGCGAGCACTGAGCCGCGCGACCGCGAGGCCCGAGCGTTCCGCGTCTCCTGATGTTTCGAGACGCCCGGTGCTTAATTCTATTACAAAAGGAACGTGTGAAAGCAAAATTGGGAATATTTACATAACGGCTACGCTTCGAGATACCCGTGAGAGCGCTCTGCGCGTTTCGAATGTATCTATGTATTACTTGTAGAAAAAATCTGACTATTCTAACATGGCCAGAATAGGTTTAAGTTATTTATGGTCATTTTTAAATAGATAATTGCAATCAAATCCATTGAAAAATCATTCTAAATTCTAAATGTATATTATGTATATGGGTATTATTATGGGTTCTTTAATAAACCTTTCTGTGGCCTACTGACCTATAAATAGACTGAAATTATTTATAACAAGTTTATTTCTACCGGACTGTGTCAGAAGGAGGGTTATTACTTAAGTAAGTGCTAGAATGAAATTGTATATAAAATGGATGTACATATATTATTGCACTGTTATTCTTTGTATTGAAATAAAAACTATTTCTGTAATTTTTTTTTTATTTGACTGCATGTTCGAGTCTTTCATTATCATTAAGAAAGAAATTATGTAACTGAAACAACAGAAGATGTTTCACAGCATTTATTGTTATAGCCTAAGTAATTAATTTATGGATTTAGTAAATAGTTCAGCCTTTAACAATATCATACTATCTAGTACTTGATTTTGGGTGTATTGCAAAGGTTGAACTATTTCTTTACTAGTTTGTTGTCATCAAGCGCTTAGTCCAGGGACTTGGGGGGAGAGTAGTTGAGGTACACCAGTCCACTTGCCTTAGCCTGCAAAGATAATAAATTAATTAAATTTTGTGGCACCCTTTTCATAAGTTTTAACTCAGACTTCAGCATAATAATTACTTCAAGGTAAAGTTAACACAATGAGCACTAGCTCATATTGTGTTGTAAAAGTATCCCAGAAAGAAAAGACATGAGCTAGGGAAAACCCTAGTAGCTCATGTCTTCCAGTGGTGTTTGTGATTCAGAATTATGATTAAGAATTATTAAAATCTGACTATTTTGTAGAAGTATTGCTATACAGATTCTATTTTGCGATGAAATAATTCTTAAGACGAGCTTTTTGGCTGTTTAGTAACAATTAATCAGCATTAGTCCCGATGTTGCCGATTAGCCGTTGGGGCAGGAAAGTTCTCGAGTGGCGACCACGGGCTGGAAGACGTAGCGTGGGCAGGCCTCCTACTAGGTGGACCGACGATCTGGTAAAGGTCGCAGGAAGAGCCTGGATGCGGGCAGCGCAGGACCGTTCATTGTGGAAAACCTTGGGGGAGGCCTTTGTCCAGCAGTGGACGTCATTTGGCTGAAACGAAAGTCCCGATGTATGTAGGACACTCACAAGGGCGATGGTGCCGACGGTGAAGACGAGCCCGAGCGCGAGCACGGCGTTGTACTTGCGCTGCTTGGCGTCGTAGGCCGCCTGCCACGAGCCGCGCGGCACCGGCAGCTCGTCCATGGTGGCCGGCTTGAAGTCGTGCCCGCCGTGGTAGCGCCGCACTGGAAAGCGACACTTCTGACCTCAATCATTGTCGTAACAATATGTGTGGTGAATTTTTTTAAAATTTATTTCTCATGTTTCTTTAGTCTTGTCATTATCAAATCATCCAGCGCTTTTAGTTTTCATAAATCTCTACAAATTCTAATATACAGATATTTGTGATTTGGTGAAATCACAGCTCATGAAACAACATGGAGCATCCCATACTAGTTGATATGGGTGCAAGGATGGTGATGTCACTTTCAGTCAATTGTTAACAAAGTTGTCCAAGCTTACATAATAATCATAATCATAATTGGAAATACAGAAGGCCCTGATATTATGAAGACGTGGATCGCTACCGAAGACGAAGGTATTTCATCTGGGACAGATGATTAATCAGGAAGGCCGTGTGGGAATAAGGAGTTTGGTTTAGTTTTTATTTTTAATTATGTTCTTTATGGTGAGATGTCAGATTTGGTTTTAGATGACGTTAGCTGTCTGAGAAAGATGTACGATTTTGTAAGACGATTTTAATAAAATGAAGAACGAATAAAACCATTATTTTCAATAACAATCTCACAATCCCACAACTTTTTAGGGTTTATTTTTTGATAAGTTTTTATTTACAAATAGTTTAACTTTTAAAACTCATGCATATTCCTTGATATAGGACCATAGAACATCGGATGGTAGACATGCAAGGGTACATTTCCGAATAATGGACATTGAGACAAATTTTAATTTTATTATCCTCTTGTTCTGTTACTTTTGGAGTATAGATTTTAGTAGCAAATCCTAGTACTAGAGCATTTGTTACTACTCAAAAATGGACTTATTATATCATTCCTGGGACTGTTCGGTGTAATCTGTTACAGGGAAACGAGTAAATATTTGCTAAAGTTATAGAATTTGTTATCAGAAGATTTGTAAAAATATAGGTTATATTATGTAACAGAACGTTTTATTGCATTTAATGTGATCGACATTGTAATTAAGAAAGCACAAATATCATATTGGCTTAAATAACCTTCAAAAGCTTTAATTAATTAATTAAAACAAAACGCGGTGGAGTTCTATTTGCAAAAAAATTAACAAAATAAATGGTGGTTATTTACCTGTCTGTTGCATGAAGCGTGAGATGATTGGTCGAGAAACAAACATCGTGGTTTTCTTTTTATAAACTTTGAATTGAATATGGGAATTAAGGGCTTGCTAGACCTCACGTTAACTGCAAACTTTTTCTAGATTTTTAACTTTACTTCTCTTCTGTCTGACAAGAGAAAAACTACTAAAATACCTACTACCAATTCCTACCATCCATCCAATTCTACCATTCATAACCAAACCATTGATGTATATTACTATGGACCGAGCATTACTTATAAAATTAACATGCTTGGTAATACATGAATTAGGAAAGAAACATGGCCAAATATTTCGAGTAGACAAAAATTCTTCTCTAGATATTTGTTACTCTTTCACGTAAAAACTACTGAACGAATATTGTTAAAACTTTACAGTATTATTGTTTACTAGCGGCCGCCCGCGACTTCGTACGCGTGGATCCCGTTTTACCCCCTTCATCTATCTTACGCGGTTTCGATTTTTTCATACAAATGTTTTTTCCTGCTAACTCCCATTCCCGTGGGAGTTTTGCAATATCCTGTTGTAACTAAGCTTTTAGTTTACTAAGATACCTGCATGCCCAAGCGTCTGGAGACGTTAAAAATTAGCGTACCTAATCGGGGCACAGATTACGCTAATTTTAAAATGTAAAGTGGGGATGAATTTTTTTCCTCTTCTACCCCATCGTGTGGGGTATCGTTGGATAGGTCTTTTAAAATAGCGTAGGGGTTTCTAAGACCATTTTTCAATTTAGGGATCCGTTTACAAAATGTTAAAGTTTATAGTGCCAATTTTTGTTCCTGTTCGAGTAGGACGTCCCCCCCCCTCTAAAAACTAAACTGTTGGGTTGAAAAATCTGGAAAAAATCATGATAATAGTACTTTTTATGAACTTTCAAGGTAAACTATAGCGCTTAAAATAGATCAGTTAGTTTACGAGTAATAGTCGTTTTACTCATGTAGTTGTAGGTATTATAAAATTTCATACCTAATAAAAATTCCTTAAAAGAAAATATTAAAAGTGACTTAAGATGAAGTATTGCTTGCTTCTGAAGTATATTGTGGTAACGAAGGACAACTACGGAACCCTACACTGCGCGTGGGCCGGTTTTTTTTTCAGCTCTGTGATTGCCAGTATCTTAGGAAATAATAATTATTGTAACTCGTACATTGTTAATTAATTAGTACTTTTAATTACTAAAGCCTGGGTATTTATAATTTCAAAATATTTCAAACTAATAAACGTAAATCATTATAGCAGAGGCATTTTCTCAATCAGAGAATACGGTGCCTGATATAATTTATTTAGCAATGTTTGTTTAACTCAAATTTACGTTTGAAAAACTTTAAGGAGACAAAGGGTTTTTAATGTAAATTATAGGTAATTAAATTATTTACTCATGTCTAACCACAAAACGTTAAAGTGATTAAATTATGTACTTATTATTTACATTAATTAAAAGTCACTGTTTTGACCAACTTCATTATCAATTTATTGTACGAGTACCTACCTATTAGGTAGGTACATCTTACCAATTTGTACTTTCATGTTTTACCTACTTAGTTTGATTTTAAGTAGCATTTGTGGACTTACTTAAGTATTTTTATTAACTAATAAACCACCACTCCATGGAGTCATCCTATCAAACATATTTTTTTAGAAAAAATATTTTGTTAACATAGACTTGCTTCGCACAATAAGCTACTACAAACGTGTGTGTGACTAAGATGATGAGCGATGATGCATCGGATTGCTATCACTGTCACGGCTCAACGAGAGGGAAACGGGCGATGCCAATAAAAACATTCATAGCGGCCGCGGCCAGGCGCAGATAATGCAGAGAGAGTAGCAACAAGCCAGTCTTGCGACAGGCGCGGCGCGCGAGGGCTGCGCACGCACGTCGCACACGCCGCGCGCGCATACTAAGTTTCTTTGTTTACGCTCGACGTCGCGTTCATTGAGGAGACAAAAATGTGTGTCTATTTATAATACGATATTTCGGAGGCAACAGATGTTTACTAGAATTGTTGGGTAGCATATTTGCTAAATTCGGTGTATGGAGTGGCTGAAGGGAGTGGTAGAGAAGGTGCGCAGGGAGAGAGGCCCGATGGAGCCCGAGCAGGCGGCCGCGGCGCTGGAGAGCCCGCAGGAGCGGCGCGAGCGCTGGCGCAGCGTCTACGTCATCTACTTCACCATGTTCCAGATGTCGCTGGGGTTCAGCATCGTGCTTACAGGTGTCTGGCCTTACCTCGACAAGGTGAACCTCAGTAGAGGGCGTTATGCCGTCGCGTCAGTTGGTTATTGTAATCGTAATATAAGAGCACGACGACTAATCTCAGAGCTGTCGACAGATTCGTTTCTATAATAGTAGAGTTAGAGGGCATTGCCCGATAACAAGCAATACTTAGTATAGGGCGCTATTGGGAACTTGGGAACAGTTTATATTATAACATACTTATTCTGTATGAATGCGAAGTTAAAAGGTATTTTTGTTTTGTATTCAGTTGTAGAGTCTTAATATAATCTCTAAAATATTTTGTTCGCATGTCGCAAGCCCTCTCGCACGCGGCCTCAGGCAAGGCCCTCTTACTGAGCGATGAATGTATAATGTAATGTAATTTTAAGTAAAACTTCCTCGATTTTTGTTAAGATTGAAGCAAGGATCACTCAATCCACATGCACATTACTTAGTAGGTCTCCCAGAGCTACGCGGACCGGTCTGGTTACCACTCAAACCTTCACTGATACCAATACCACTGTATGATTCATGCATCGCAAGTATGTAAACAAATCAGATTAAACTGCATTCAAACGTGACTGCAATAAATAGTTACCTATTATATTACATACTTGNGGACCCATAAGAAGGCCATTTGAGGTAAAAAAAAAAGTTTTTAATTTCATTATAATACGCGTTGGCAAGTTATTTGAGGTCAATATAATACTCATTACTACTGTTTTTAAATAATTTCCAATAATATATTCTTAGTTATACGATGGTGTTCAAGTAATGTTTTTTGAGTTTTTTATAAATGATAAAAATATATTGAGCATTTAATGTTTTGCTTAAATGAAAGAGCTTATTATGTAGTTTTAGTAAAAGCGAATATATTAATTGTTACAACTCTATTTTTAAGTTGAACGACTGATGTATAATATTGGCCTTGTTTGGAGCCGTGTTGCTTGCAAGGCCATTTGGAAGAGCTTAACAAAACTTAAGTTTAATGAATACTGATTAAAGCTAGGTTAAAAAAAAAGTGATTTATATGGTACACAATAAAACAAACTATTATTTGATAATTTGTTTTTTTCATTTATCCAGTTAATAAAGGAATAAAAAGCGTTTACTCGTTAGAGTGGCCTTCCATGGTCCACCCACCTTATAAAGCAAACTATTGCTAATTTACGATTGTTAGTCATGATTCCATGTTCGCGATACCTAGATTGGTATTCTTCTTCTTCCAATCTAAAGTACGAAATTATCTTCATAAATCTCCTATCTATCCTAGCAGCAAATTCTAAAAATACACTAAAGTGAATTAAAATTTGTGTGTCCCACCAGAGAACTGAACTTAAGACCGGATCGAGAAAGATCTCTACAACTAGACCACGGACGCTGTTAATATCCAATTGGTTTTTGTCTATGATTTTAAACGTTAATACTTAGTTCAAATTAGCGGCCGCCCGCGACTTCGTACGCGTGGAACCCGTTTTACCCCCTAAGGGGTGGAGTTTCTTAAAATCCTTTCTTAGCAGATGCCCACGTCATAACATCTACCTGCATGCCAAATTTTAGCCTGATCCGTCGAGTGGTTTGGGCTGTGCGTTGATTAAAAACTCCGCACAGTGCCTAGAGGTTGGCAATTGGCATGTTACGACAACGGACATAAATCTTCAAAAAACAATTAAAGACAAAATACCCATTAAGTCTCGCATACAAAGCGATTCTTCACTCCGCACCAATTGGAATATTTCAAAGTGATGAATGAAGAAAGAAATCTTACTTTCGTTGGGCATTTGTCATTATAATTTGTTCATTGATACTGTGGCGTTTGAAGATTTTAGATTTCCGAACGCACCACAAACAATAGCTGTCAAATCGGACTTTGACAGATGACCTTTTCCGAACGACACTTGGTTTTGGCGCCTTGAGAACCAACAACGCTACTCGTTGTGATTTGCATTTGTAAATACCAAAAACTCACTGTATAGCACTTGTGCATACGTCCAGTAGATTAATATCAACATTATAAAGTCACTTGTACGTGACGCCGTTGTGTAAAACACTGTATATACCTACTACAAGATTCTCCAATACACGCTGTGTATCACTAACCGGAGTTTAATTCGGCTTGGGGAAAGCCGCCTCATAAAACCCCAAACTGGTGACCACCGTACGTTACAAACGGATCCCGGATCATTATCATCAGGATCCCGAACACGAAAATCATTCCGGTTACACTCCGTGGTATCTACACAACGAGCTACTAGACCTCGCCCCTGACCTGACGCCACTCGCATGCCTGCTTCTTCGTCGTCCATTATGTACATCGTGCATGGGTGTATCGTGTGATGTGTGTGCGAAATAGTGTTTAGTGTGCTTAATACTTAACAACTGAACCCTATCAACTACTACCATCTTAGTAACCAAGTGAAACAATCAAAGACAGTCCATCAGCACCGCAGTCACGCAAGTACCACAATCATAATCTCCCACTGTTTGACTCTCTCATTACGCTAAAACATTGAAGATTATAGTGCACTGTTCAAATTGTTTTCCTGTGTCAGTGTAATTGTGTGTATAAAATTACAATATTGTCCATATTCTACTTCTACTTCTAACTTCAAATTAAACTATACTCTAACTTCATAATTAAACTTCAACTATTTCATGTCAACTGTTTCATACTTGCCAACTTGCATTCCAATTTATCAACAATTACTAACTATTAATTAACTTTATTACTTAACAATTATAACTCATTAAGTACTTATTGCATGTTGCATCAATATAATAATTATGGTTATTGTTTCTACTACTGAATGTTTTACCTATGTATGAAACTTATTCTGTTTTGCATTGTTTGAAATGTGCAACCGCAAAGTGTGTATATTTTTTATTGAATGTGTTATATTGCATTTACCATTATTGTTTCTGCACTTTTGAAGTAAATTACCTAACACCTGCGGAGAGGGATATTTTAACAACACAACTAATATTAATTTTTTTTTATCCTTATTTGCTTTCTGCACAGTGGTACATAATTCCAACATGTCTGACACAGAACTGAAGACCCAGCTAGAAGAACTTATTGCCAAAAATGCACTTTTAGAATCCCAACTCAAGGCACAACTAGAACCCAAATCGGGGATATCAAGTGAACAGGTCTGCAGGGTGTCGGTAAAACTACCACCATTTTGGACCGACAGACCAGCGATATGGTTTGCCCAAGCTGAGGCCCAGTTCCACTTAGCTGGAATAACTGCTGACTCAACAAAGTTTTGTCATGTTATCGCTACCATAGACCAGCGGGTTATAGGGGAAATAGAGGACATTGTGATGAATCCCCCTGAAGAGAACAAATATGGGAAACTCAAAGAAGAATTGATTCGCCGATTATCGACCTCTGAGGAACAACGAGTTCGACGCCTGCTCAGCGAAGAGGAATTGGGCGACAGGAAACCGTCCACATTCCTACGACATCTTAGATCACTTGCCGGGTCTACACTAAAAGACGACAACCTCTTGCGACAACTTTGGCTCCGCCGACTGCCCAACCAAGTCCAAGCCATTTTGGCAGCGCAGGCGGACCTCACCTTAGATAAACTAGCGGATCTAGCCGATAGGATCACGGAAGTTGCCCCCGGGCCTGCAAACCTGTTTGCCATCAATAGTCCCCCACCTCTTCTCGCCTCACTTGCCGAATGTGTGGAAAACCTAACGAAACAAGTTGCAGCCCTAACCGTGCAGCAACAAGGCAGATCACGATCCCGCTCCACATCAATCAACAGAAGACGTGACAGGTCTCCATCCGCTAACGCGTCCCAACATTGCTGGTACCACCAAACCTTTGGCCACCGAGCACTTAAATGCACACCTCCATGCAAATGGATAGCGGAAAACTCAATCAGCAATCAGTAGTGGCGAATACTGATTGCTGCATTATAGATTCCCACGGTCGCCGCCTTTTCGTCACGGACAGGAGCACGAAACAACAGTACCTGATCGACACCGGTTCAGATTTATGCTGTTACCCCTATCAATGGTTGCGCAGCCGCAGGAAGCCTGATGACTGGAACCTCAGCGCAGCAAATGGTAGCTGCATAAAAACGTACGGCACCATCAACCTCAAACTGGATTTTGGCTTGCGCCGAGATTTCATCTGGCAGTTTGTAGTCGCTGACGTTAGCAACCCCATCATCGGATCGGATTTTCTCGCACATTACCATCTCCTTCCGGATTGCGCTAGTAAGAAAATAGTCGATGGCAAAACTGGGCTATCTAATACAGCTATAATCGCTCCGCCTGACCAGCTCATAGGTGTCAAAGCCGTCACAATTGGTCTTAACAATTCACCGTTCCACGAGATCCTCCGAGAATTTCCAGACATCACCAAACCTCCAGGATTACCACGCGTCATAAAGCATGAGACTGTGCACTTCATCAACACTACAGATGGACCACCTGTCTCCAGCCGACCTCGCCGTTTAGCCCCGCAAAAACTCAAAGCAGCGCAACAAGCTTTCACGGACATGGTACAAGCGGGCACTGCTACACCATCTTCCAGCCCATGGTCTGCGCCACTTCATCTAGCACCCAAAAAAGATGCCACTTGGCGACCATGTGGCGACTACCGTGCCCTGAACGCTCGCACCATCCCCGACCGATATCCGGTTAGACACATCGGTGATCTCGGTCACAACCTGAGAGGCGCAACCATATTCAGCACCATCGACCTCGTGAAAGCTTACCAGCAAATCCCCGTCCATCCGCCTGACGTCTGCAAAACAGCCATCATCACAACGTTTGGATTGTTTGAATTCCCATTCATGAGTTTTGGTCTTCGAAATGCTGGGCAAACCTTCCAACGCTTCATAGACGAAGTCACGAGGGGGCTTGATTTCGTTTTCCCATATGTTGATGACATCCTGGTCTTCTCCCGCGACGCCTGCCAGCACCAAGAACACCTCCGCAAACTGTTCCAACGACTAAAACAATATGGAGTGGTAATCAATTGCGAAAAGTGCGTTTTAGGAGCTGAGGAAGTCACTTTTCTAGGCTACAACATCTCAGCCGCGGGCACTAAACCACCATCCCACCGAGTTGAAGCCATAAAAAGCTTCCCCGCACCCAAAACAGCACAAGGTCTCCGTAGGTTTCTGGGTATGATTAACTATTACCGTAGATTTATACCCAAAGCCGCGGAATATCAAGCTCCCTTGATCGACGTTCTGGCCAGCAACCATCTCAAAGGTTCAAAACCAATTCCTTGGACTGAAGACCTGGAATTGGCTTTTCAGAAATGCAAGCAGAGCCTAACAGAAGCAACACTGCTAGCCCACCCACAACCAGACGCACCACTCGGTTTGTTCACGGACGCTTCCAGCACCCACATCGGAGCAACCCTCCAACAAAAAGTAAATGGTGAATGGCATCCTCTCGCCTTCTTTAGCAAGAAATTGAGCCCTCAACAAACCCAGTGGCCAGCTTATTATCGGGAACTCTTAGCCGTCTATGAAAGCGTACAGCATTTTCGCCACATACTTGAAGTACAGCACGCGACCATTTTCACCGACCACAAGCCACTGCTGTACGCATTCATACAACGCCGCGAAAAGCTCCCTCCACCCCAGCTCAACCAATTATCATTCATCGGCCAGTTCACCACGGACATTCAGTACATTAAAGGCGAAGACAACATCGTCGCTGATGCCATGTCGCGGATTGAAGCAATATCAACCGAACAAGATTACCAAGCCCTGGCAAGGTCACAAAAGGAAGATCACGAACTCGCAGACCTCCAAAAGGCTTCAAGCGGTTTACAGCTCGTCGAAGTTATCCTTCCAGGTTCTGACACTTCAGTAATCTGCGACGTGGGCACTGGAAAACCCCGCCCATACCTCACTCCTCCGTTTCGTCGTGCAGCATTTGACAAGCTACACAACTTAAGCCATCCCGGCATAAGAGCCACAACCCGCCTCTTGACTGGTCGCTATGTATGGCCTTCGATCAGAAAAGATTGCCATAATTGGGCACGATCCTGTGTAGCTTGTCAACGCAGCAAAATAACGAGGCATAATTCCGCTCCTCTTGGGACTTTCGCTCAACCATCTGGCCGTTTCGCACATGTCCATATCGACATCATTGGCCCGCTACCACAATGCAGAGAATACCGTTACTGTTTGACAGCAATCGACAGGGTCTCTCGGTGGCCTGAAGTCTGGCCCATGCAGTCGATTACAGCCGAAGAAGTAGCCGAAACATTCACCCAAGGATGGATATCCCGTTTTGGCATTCCCTCCATCATAACAACAGACCAAGGTACCCAATTTGAATCCGACCTGTTCCGCCGTTTAATGGAAAACTTCGCCACCAAACGTATTCGAACAACATCATATCATCCAAGCGCTAACGGCATGATAGAGCGGGTCCACCGACAGTTAAAAGCTGCACTTATGTGCCACAACGCTACGTGGGTCACTTCTCTGCCTTTCGTGTTACTTGGTATGCGCACAGCTTTTAAGGAAGACCTAAAAGCTACAGCAGCCGAAATGCTCTACGGAGAAAACTTGCGGTTGCCGGGAGAATTGCTCGTAGTACCAGATACCAGCACTAACACATCTTCAGATTTTGTTACCAAACTGCGCAGACAAATGGCTAGTGCTAGGCCAGTTCCAGCTTCTCGTNTGCTACTGCTGTTTACAATATACACCGTGTAACACTAACCGGAGTTTGATTCGGCTCGGGGAGCGCCGCCTCATCAATCCCCAAACTGGTGACCACCGTACGTTCCAAACGGATCCCGGATCATCTTCATCAGGATCCCGAACACGAAAATCATTCCGGTTACGCTCCGTGGTATCTTCACAACGCGCAACGTGCTACCATTTCGCGCCCCTGACCTGACGCTATTCGCACGCCAGCTTCTTCTTCGTCCATTACGTGCATCGTGCATGAGTGTATTGTGTGTGAAACCTTGTGCTTAATAACAACTGGACGCTAAAATCATAAACCATCTTAATCAAGTGAAGTACAATCAAAGACTGTCCACCAGCATCGCAGCCACACAAGTACCACTTCCATCTTGCTCCGTCTAACTTGTGCATCATGCGAAAACATTGAACTTTACAGTGCTCCGTTCATGTACCATACTTATTTCTCTGTGTCATTGCTAATCTGTGTGTAAAACTACAATATTCCTAACCTAACCCAACTTAATAACATAATTCAATTTAAACTAGGTAAATTTATTCATTCTTATCAACTTGTATTTGAATTATTAACAATTAACTTTCGGTTTACATTAAATACTTTGTTTGTAATAATTAAGCATTTACCAGGTATTTATTGCATGTAATATGTTGGTTTAATTAAGGTTATTGGTTTCTATTGCTAAAATTCCTACCAATTTGATCTAACCTGTCTTATGGTTTCAAATTTGCAACGGCCAAGTGTGTGTATCATTGTTTATTTTATTTTTATCTGCATATTGCATCTAAAATTGATTATTTTTAATATTGTTAAATTGAATTTCCTAACACCTGCGGAGAAGGATATTTTAACCCTTAACAGCACATTTTTTTATTTTTTAACTTTGTTTACTTTCTGCACAGTGGTACAGTTACATTTTCAACATGTCTGACACAGAACTAAAGGCACAGCTAGAGGAACTTATTGCCAAAAATAGAATTTTAGAATCTCAACTCAAAGCACAATCAGAACCCAAACCTGGGACATCCTACGAACAGGTATGCAGGGTGTCAGTAAAACTACCACCATTTTGGACTGACAGACCGGCAATATGGTTTGCTCAAGCCGAGGCCCAGTTCCACTTAGCCGGCATAACAGCTGACTCGACAAAGTTCTGCCACGTTATCGCAACCATAGATCAGCGGGTTATAGGGGAAATAGAGGATATTGTGATGAACCCCCCTGAAGAGAATAAATATGGGAAACTTAAGGAAGAGTTGATTCGTCGTTTATCAACCTCCGAGGAACAAAGAGTGCGACGCCTGCTCAGCGAAGAGGAATTGGGCGACAGGAAGCCATCCACATTCCTACGACACCTCAGATCGCTTGCCGGATCCACACTGAAAGACGACAACCTCTTGCGACAACTTTGGCTCCGGCGACTTCCCAACCAAGTCCAGGCCATTTTGGCTGCGCAAGCGGACCTCACGTTAGACAAACTGGCGGATCTAGCGGACAGGATCACAGAAGTGGCACCCGGACCTGCAAACGTGTTTGCTATAAATAACACCCCACCCCTTCTCGCCTCACTCGCCGAGTGTGTCGAAAATCTAACAAAACAAGTTGCAGCCCTAACGGTGCAGCAGCAAAGATCACGATCCCGTTCCTCATCGGCCAACAAAAGTCGAGACAGGTCCCCATCAGCCAACGCGTCCAAATACTGCTGGTACCACAGAAAATTTGGCCACCAAGCATTAAAATGCACATCCCCATGCAAATGGGCAGCGGAAAACTCGATAAGCAATCAGTAGTGGCGAATACTGATTGCTGCGTTATCGATTCCCACGGTCGCCGCCTTTTCGTCACAGACAGGAGTACTAAACAACAGTACCTCATTGACACCGGTTCGGACTTGTGCTGTTATCCCCATCGATGGTTACACAACCGCAGGAAGCCTGATGACTGGAACCTCAGCGCAGCAAACGGCAGCTGCATAAAGACATACGGCACCATCAACCTCAAACTTGATTTTGGTTTGCGCCGCGACTTCATCTGGCAGTTCGTAGTCGCTGACGTCAGCAACCCCATCATTGGCTCGGATTTTCTCGCA